TACTCGAGGACGAGCAGGAATTAAGCTTGGGGATGCTTGATACGTCTCCAACGTATCTATAATTTTCTATTGTTCCACGCTATTATATTATCTGTTTTGGATGTTTAATATGCATTTATATGCTATTTTATATTATTTTTGGGACTAACCTATTAACCGAGGGCCTAGTGTCAGTTTCTTTTTTTTTGCCTGTTTTAGAGTTTTGCAGAAAAGGATACCAAACAGAATGAAACTTTCGCGATGATCTTTCTTGGACCAGAAGCAAGCCAGTAGACTTGGAGATGAAGTCAAAGACGCAACGAGGTGTCCACGAGGGTGGAGGGCGCGCCCCCACCTCGTGGGGTCTCCTGACCTAGCTCCTTCGCCTATATATACTCTTATACCCCCAAAACATCAAGGGGAGCCATGAAAACACTTTTCCACCGCCGCAACCTTTTGTACCCATGAGATCCCATCTAGGGGCCTGTTCCGGCGTCCTGTCGGAGGGGGATTCGATCACGGAGGGCTTCTATATCAACACCATTACCCTTCCGATGAAGCGTGGGTAGTTTACCTCAGACCTACGGTCCATAGCTAGTAGCTAGATGGCTTCTTCTCTCTCTTTGATTCTCAATACCATGTTCTCCTCGATGTTCTTGGAGATCTATTCGATGTAATACTCTTTTGCAGTGTGTTTGCCGAGATCCGATAAATTGTGGATTTATGATCAGATTATCTATGAATATTATTTGAGTCTTCTCTGAATTCTTATATGCATGATTTGATATCTTTGCAAGTCTCTTCGAATTATCGGTTTAGTTTGGCCTACTAGATTGGTTTTTCTTGCAATGAGAGAAGTGCTTAGTTTTGGGTTAAGTCTTGTGGTGTCCTTTCCCAGTGATAGTAGGGGCAGCAAGGCACGTATTGTATTGTTGCCATCGAGAATAAAAAGATGGGGTTTTCATCATATTGCTTGAGTTAATTCCTCTACATCATGTCATCTTACTTAATGCGTTACTCCGTTCTTTATGAACTTAATACTCTAGATGCATGCTGGATAGCGGTCGATGTGTGGAGTAATAGTAGTAGATGCAGAACCGTTTCAATCTACTTGACACGGACGTGATGCCTATATTCATGATCATTGCCTTAGATGTCATCATAATGATGTGCTCTTCTATAAATTGCTCGGCAGTAATTTGTTCACCCACTGTAATATTTACTATCTTGAGAGAAGCCACTAGTGAAACCTATGGCCCTGGGTCTATTTTACATCATCTTAGTTTCCTGTCAACTTGCCAATTTCTGTCGCCGTTTCTTTACTTTGCAATCTTTACTTTCCAATCTATAAACCAAAAAAACCAAAATAATTTACTTTACCGTTTATCTATCTCTATCAGATCTCACTTTTGCAAATAACCGTGAAGGGATTGACAACCCCTTACCGTGTTGGGTGCAAGTTTGTTGATTGTTTGTGCAGATACATACCTTGGTTCTCAAACTGAGGGAAATACTTATTCTACTTTGCTGCATCACCCTTTCCTCTTCAAGGGAAAAACCAACACAAGCTCAAGAGGTAGCAGGACGCCTCTCGTCCACGACAGAACTTGGGTCCCTCCACCAGCAAAAGAGTCATCCGAGTCGTCCGGCAGACCGCTCTGCCCGCTCCCATCTGAGCTAGCCGGCTGACGCCAGTTCTCCAGCGGGGTGAAATCACGCATGCACCCAATTTTTATCAAGGTGGGGTACTCCAAAAGGCGGCTGCAAGCCTGGCACGTAATGTCCTCCGGCGGCTCGGGAATCCAAATCCGCTTCTGCACTAGAACGAGATCCGGGCCACGACACCATGCCCGGAGCTTGAACACCGATAAATCTTCACGGCTAGCGGTCTCCGGGGCAAGGCTGACGATGTCACACGAGGCACCCAGGATCTTGGCCGCCGTCTTGCACTCCCAGGCATGCGACGGGATGCCCTCGATCATGATGTCCACCAGAACCCGCATGACCCTCGCCGAGGCTTGAGCTTGACGCAGCCAAGGCCGAAGAAACAACTTGAAACCAGAGTGCTCAATGGAATCAACACAAGTAGTGAAGTTGCGTAGCTCCGGCGTGGCGAAGACCACTAGGAAATCCTTAGGGTGGTATCGGTGGACGGAGAACTTGTGCCGCGGAATGCCCAGCTGCACCGAAATTGCTTCCGCTGCCTCCACGCGGGACACCGGCGGCCGCGCCCCACCAACATAGACCACCGCGGCAAGCCACAGCCTGGCCTCCATGTCATCCATGGTTGGGGAGCGACGAAGGACACAGATGTCTCCGCCCTCCACCGGCACCGTCAGCTGTTCGGGCATAGGGATGATCGTAGGGACACCCGACAATGATCGTGCCGGCGGAGCCGACATCGCATCCTGTCTAGGAACCAACGAAATCCGCCCCATGAGCCTGGCTGACGAGTGCTCCAGGGCCGACCTGGCCACCTTGTCAATGGCCGCCTAACGAAGCTCTTCCACGGGGACAGGGCTGCGAGGCCTCTTGCATTGGCCCAGCGAGTGACCCTCCATATTGCAGCGGATGCACAGTGGCGGGAAAGCGCTGTCTTGCTTGTGGTGCCCATCCCGAAAGCAGTTGAAGCATGGGGGTCTGTCACGCTCCGACTAGGAGGCCAACGGCGGCCGCGGCGCACCACGGGCTGCCTCAGACCGCCGCAACACCTTGCGCCGACACCAGCGAGCCTTGTGAGACGGCCCTGGCTTGCGCCAGCTAGCCTCCGGCTGGCCGCCCATCGACGCACCTCCACATCCCTGGTCCGGGCCGAGGCCGATGCACTCGAAGACAACTGGACTACCAGCGAGCCAGACAGCCCCAGGCCAGAGACCACCAGATGCAAGCGGGGTTACGCCAAGGAAACGAACTCCGGGCTCGCGGATTTGGCCGCCATGGGGAGGAGGGAACCGGGGACCTAGGAGGGGAGGAAAGAAAGGAGGGTGGGCGAGGCGGGGAGCTGAGGGCGCCGGACCGGAGAGGCCGACAACGGAGATGGGGTGGACGCCGGGGCCGGAGCGGCCGACGGCGGGAGGAGAGGAGGGTGGACGCCGGGGCCAGAGTGGCCGACGGCGGAACGCTTGACGCATGACGCGGGGGCCGATGGCAGTAGTCGCTGTCTACCAGGTTCACACGTCAGTGGCTGCTTGAGACGATCAGGTGGGAGATGACCACTCGTGGAGCTCCTAGCCAACAGGGGTTGTGGACAATATTGCGAGAAGATTTTTTTGAGGGGTCGAGGACAATATTGCGAGAAGATTTTTTGAGTGAGCTTGCCAGCAACAAGAATATTATATATTTAAATTTTGTCCTGTTATTGCACATTATTATTCTGTTGTTGCACAAAAAGTGCGATGTCAAAACGTTTGGATGCCCGGCAAAAATACCACTACACCAGAATCCCAATTTCTCAAAATACCGATCGCCAAATCAAGACCGTTCGTTCAATCTAATCTCGCCGCCGCCCCGTTCTCTCCTGGCGGCGATGGCGAAACCTCCTCCATCCGCGGCTGCGTCGGCCGCCGGCGGCCGCGGCCCTGCCCACCACCGGACCCGCCTCCTCCTCCTGCTCCTCGTCGCCGTGGCCGCCTCCGCCTTCACCGCCGGCTATGTCCTCCGCGGCGGCCCTGTCGGCCCATGCGATACCCGAGGGGATCCTGTAGACGTCGCTACCGCCCAAGCTGGCGATGCTGCCTCGAGCCCCCTCGGGTTCATGAAGTCCAAGCTCGTGCTGCTTGTCTCCCACGAACTCTCCCTCTCCGGTAACTAATCGCGGTGTGCTTCACTTTTCCCTTGCGTGCTGGTTTGAGCAAACGCTGTACCATGATACCATCGCGAGATATGTACATGAATTTAGTTCACTGCGGTGCCCCAGCGATTCGGGATACTAGGAATTATGTATATTCCGAGGTAATAAACAGAGAAATTAAGATAGGTTGGTGAAATGTTTGCTTGGAATGTTCAGGCTAACTCAAGATCCCTGAAAAAAAAAAACATCACAGACTATAAACGAATGTTGCTGAATATTTCACTCTGGTGTAGTTGCTCATAAGTTTGAAGAGTGGGGCCTTCGAGTCTTTTATGAGATTTGCTGCATTTCATCGGCAGAGATCTCTAAATTGGTGTGGTATTGCCATTATTTTGTTTATAAACCAGTTTTATTGGAGATACTTCTGTTTTGTGTAGGTGGACCGTTATTACTGATGGAGCTGGCATTTCTTCTGCGGCAGGTTGGTTGTCAAGTGGTGTGGATAACAAACCAGCGACCCGAAGGAACAAATGATGTTTCATATAGCTTGGAGCATAAGATGTTGAACCATGGAGTGCAGGTATGGTCCGAGTCCCGCATTTGTTTTCACAAATCACACCTTACCGTCGCAAACTTCGGATGTTTTGTACATTCGACGATGTCCAGGTCTCCAGGAAGCAATATCGCAATGTATTGTAAAATATATAAATGTGTTAAATATGAACATAATTCTTGTGATGAGTTTACATGTATTACTTTTATATGACCAAGAAATGTTTGAAAAAATATCACTGGTTAAAGATGAAAGGTTTGTATGTGCCTGTTCCACTGTCGCAGTTTTTACATGGATATTGCCTTTTTTAGCAAAGCTCGTCTCACCTCTCATCTCTGTCACGTCTATGTTTCACATGATCAAAAGTTCATGTTTCATCTTGTTTGGCATGATAGTAGTGAATTTCTATATCAAAAAGTGTCGTGGAATAAATTATTGTTGAAGCACCACACCCGAGGTTGTAGAAAAAAGCATATCCAAAATATGAAAGTGATGAAGTTCATGTTTCATCTTATTCGGCGTGATTGTACTAAACTGCTATTTCGAAGTGTCATGGAATAAGTCATAGTTGAAGGCAATAAAGCATGTCCAAATTAAAAACTTAATCTACTGTAATGCAATATTTTACTTATGCTAGGGAACTAATTTATAATTTTAGAGGAAGTCACATCGACTTACATGGTCGCTTCACAGGTTTTACCTGCTAGGGGACAGGAGGCAATTGAGACTGCTCTTAAGGCTGACCTGGTTATCTTGAACACCGCTGTTGCTGGCAAGTGGCTCGATGCTGTTCTAAAAGATAATGTTCCTCAAGTCCTTCCGAAGATTTTGTGGTGGATCCATGAAATGCGAGGACATTACTTTAAGCTTGAGTATGTGAAACATCTTCCTTTGGTTGCTGGAGCCATGATCGATTCTCATATAACAGTTGAATATTGGAAGACCAGGACTCATGACCGTCTAAAGTATGTGCAGCTTTCTTCTGTGTACATTACATTATGAGTACCATGCTACCATTTGTGCTGTTGGACTCTTGCGTTTGATGTGAATTACTAGTCCAGTGGATATTTATCTCTCTGGCCCTTGTGTATGTGGTGACTTAGTTCCAAATTTTACTATCTAAAATGTTTTTCTTGTGCTATATGCCTATGTATGAGCTTTTACTCCACAATGGAATATTGTAGACAATGATCATTTTGTTGCTTTCAGCTTCTTTATTCCTACTAATGTTCTTGCGCATAAAGTATACAGATGCCACAAACTTATGCTGTTCACCTCGGGAATAGTAAAGAGTTAACAGAAGTTGCCGAAGATAATGTCGCAAGAAGAGTCCTACGTGAACATATACGCGAGTCCCTTGGAGTTAGGAGTGAAGATCTCCTATTTGCTATAATAAACAGTATGTTTTGTTTGCCAAAGTCATACTTCCAAACTATATATTTGTTGGACCAATCATTCTCTCCGATTTATGCTCTTATATGCTATTGTCCTTGATAAATATCTTGCAATCCAGGTGTTTCACGGGGAAAAGGACAAGACTTATTTCTTCAAGCATTTCATCAGAGCCTGCAACTCATCCAACATCAGAAGTTAAAAGTGCCTAAAGTGCATGCTGTAGTTGTCGGAAGTGATATGAGTGCTCAGACGAAGTTTGAGACACAGTTACGTGAATTTGTGGCGAAGAATGGGATCCATGACCGTGTTCACTTTGCAAACAAGACGTTGGCAGTGGCACCTTATTTGGCTGCAATTGATGTGCTTGTCCAGAACTCTCAGGTGAGTCATAGTATGGATATATTTTTCTCTTCTGTCCCCATTTCAATGGTATGCTACGATGGAACTGTATGCACTATGTATGTTTGCAACGTTGTTTGCATCTTTCCCACTTGGGCAGAGCGTTCAAATACCTCTCATAAGCATTTATTTTAATCTGGGAACAACAAACTCTTATAGGTTGACTCCATCCATGCTAATTTTTTAGGGTCCGGGGATCAGTCAATGAGGTTCTTTAATCTAGTCCATCCACATTATTTGTGTGGACAATATTTATGCAACCTATGTTTATTCTCGTAGCATGCTTACGTTGCTTTGCCAGTTTTTACATAGAAAAGTTGCATTACCCAGGGTCCACGCACATAGTGCAAAGAAATGTCATTGGACATCCCTTATGTGAGAGTATCATTTAAACAAACTTCTCCTTTATTTTTTCTTTAAAGTTGTTCTGTAATAGCCTTGCTTGTAGGCATAGCTTACCATCTATCAGTGTTAGTAGTCAAACCTATCAGTAATGTTGACCCATGTTGGTTATTAGTTTATTACTTATTATGCTGCTAAGAATGTGTACGTGGTTTTGCGAGTTTCACTCTCTACCTATCAATGAAATTGTACACAATCTTGTGTATTCGTGAAAATAATAATTAAATGGTTGTCACTTCCAGGGCACTAGTACTTATGTTACAGTAGAGAAAACATTACATTCAATATGGCTATAGTTGAGAAAGATTTGTTCATGAGTGAAAGCTTTTCCACACTTGAGTGTTAACATTTTCCATGATAGCGTTCTGTTAATCCAATAAATTGATGATTTGGTAGACTGATTTTCACTAGAGCTCACTCTGCTTGTCGAAACATTCCATTTATTCTAGAATACTCCCTCTGTCCTCAAATAGATGGCGTATAAGTTCAGTCAAAAAGTGAATTCTCTCTAAGTTTGACCAAATATATAGAAGAAAATATCAACAACTATAGTATTGAGTAAATAGATTATGAAAATAGATCTAATGATGGATATATTGATATTGATTTGGAATTGTTTATCTTCACATTTTTCTATATATACATGGTCAAACATATGAAGCATTGACTTTTTGACTGAAATTATATGCCATCTATTTAGGGACGGAGGTAGTAATACATTTCCACAACTCTAACCAGAAACTGACACACGCCACCTCATATCAGAGTGCATCATTTTTCAGCATGCTGGGTACAATGAGGATTGCTAAATGTAGTTGTTATGACCGGCATATTAGGGGCTTAGCCTAGTGGGCTGTGGCCCGAGTTATCTTATCGTTATTAGGGGCTTAGCCCAATTATCTTATTGTTATTAGGGTCGTTTGCTTAGGAGTCAAGTAAACCTCTCTATATAAGGAGAGGAGATGTATCAATCTAATCAAGCAAGAAGCAATCAGTATTTGCTCGGCTTCCCTTAGGGAGCCGGGAGACCTAACCCTAGTCGCCTCTTGCGCCGCTGCCGCCTCTTCTCCACCACGCAAGGACGGCGCCCAGCCGCCGTCCGCCGCGCCCTCGACCTCGTCTTCCTCCATCTTTTCCCTACAATCTCCGCCCTAGAACCGGCAGAACCCTAGCTCCTAACACCTTGGTATCAGGTAGCTCAGTTCCGATCATGTCTTCGCCGCCGCCAATCCCATCGCTTCCGCTGCCGACCGTCACCACCGCGCCGCTGGCCTTCTCCATCGCGCCTCTGCTCTCCCTGTCCGCGCCACTGGTCGCATCCTCCGGCGCCGCCATCTACTCGCCGGCGGAGATGACCGTGGTCCTCAACGACCTCGTCACCGCCGTCCAGGGCATACGCCTCTACCTAGCCGGGCCCTACGGGTAGCCGCCGCCCTTGCAGCCGACCGCCGCGATCGGGCCAGCCGCCCTGCCCTGGTACGCGGCCACCACGGCGCCGATCAGGCCTCTACACCACCACTGGCCGCAGTGGCCGGCACCGGCGATCGCAACGCCCCCGACACCTCCAGGGTCTGGGTAGGCGCCGCCCTTGCAGCCGACCGCCGCGACCGGGCCAGCCGCCCTACCCTGGTACGTGGCCACCACGGCGCCGATCGGGCCTCTACACCACCACTGGCCCGGTCAGCCGCCGCCCGCCGTCGCCCCCCACTGGCCGCAGTGGCCGGCACCGGCGATCGCAGCGCCCCCGACGCCTCCAGGGTCCGGGCAGCCGCAGCCCCAGCTGCCGGCCCCACCGCCGCTCACTACCGCGCCTCAATGGCCACAGTGGCCGACCCCGGCCCTCGCTGCGCCACCCACTCCACCCGGGTCTGTACCACCGCAGCTGCCGGCCCCGTCCCCGCCCAGCACGGGGCCCGGGTCACCCATGCAGGGAGGCGTGCCGATTCAGCAACTGCGGTTCCCACCCTCGCCGTCCCAGCTTCCGGCCTGGTTGGCCGGGACGTCACCGCCGCCAGTCTACACCATGGCTGCAGACCAGCAGGCGCCCTCCCTGCCGTACGACGGGCCCTCCGACTCTGCGGGTTTCCACGCTGGCTTCGACGGGCCACCGCTTTCCTGCGGACCACCTGTGCACACCGGACTAATGCCATCCTCTTCGCTGCTCCATACCGCCGAGCCGTACACTCACGGCGGTCATGCTCAGACACCGCCGCGCTTCGCCAAGCTCGCCTTCGCCACCTACGACGGCGCCGAGGACCCCCTCAACTGGCTCAGGCAGTGCGAGCAGTTCTTCTGGGGGCAACGGACGCTCGCGTCGGACCGCACTTGGCTCGCCTCTTATCACCTCCGCGATGCCGCACAGACGTGGTACTACGCCCTCGAGCAGGACGAGGGCGGCATGCCCCCATGGGAGCGTTTTCGCGAGTTCTGCCTCCATCAATTCGGACTGCCGATACATGGGAGCCGGCTGGCGGAGTTGGGCCGCCTTCCCTTCACCTCTATGGTGCAGGACTACACCGACCGCTTTCAGGCCCTGGCGTGCCACGCGTCCGGCGTGACGGCTCACCAGCGGACTGAACTCTTCATCAGCGGTCTGCCAGATCATATCCGTGTGGACTTCGAGCTGCAGGGACCCCAGGACCTCCAGACGGCCATGTACTACGCCCGTGCGTTCGAGCGCCGCGCGGTGGCCATCCAGCAGGCATCACCGTCCCGGGCCGCCGGGCCGCCACCCTGGCAAGATGTTCCCGCGCATGGTCGGCTTGCTCAGGCTTTCGTGGCACCCCTTGCCGCGACCGCGGAGTGCCCGTTCCGCCGGCTCACCTCGGCCGAGCTACTCGAGCGTTGCTAGCAAGGGTTGTGCTTCAACTGGGACGAGACCTACATGCCCGGCCACGTCTGCCCCCGACTCTTCTACCTGGAGGCTGCAGACTACATTGAGGAGGACGCCGTTGCCACCGGGCTCGGCGACCTGGCCGCCCCAGCTGTCGCGGAGGTGTTTGACGCTGGTTGATCACCTCGAGGAGTTCAGCAAGCGCTTCCCCGCCTTACAGCTCGAGGACGAGCTGTTTGTGCAGGCGGGGAGAAGTGTTATGACCGGCATATTAGGGGCTTAGCCCAGTGGGCTGTGGCTCGAGTTATCTTATCGTTATTAGGGGCTTAGCCCAATTATCTTATTGTTATTAGAGTCGTTTGCTTAGGAGTCAAGTAAACCTCTCTATATAAGGAGAGGAGATGTATCAATCTAATCAAGCAAGAAACAATCAGTATTTGCTCGGCTTCCCTTAGGGAGCCGGGAGACCTAACCCTAGCCGCCTCTTGCGCCGCTGCCGCCTCTTCTCCACCACGCAAGGACGGCGCCCAGCCGCCGTCCGCCGCGCCCTCGATCTCGTCTTCCTCCATCTTTTCCCTACAATCTCCGCCCTAGAACCGGCAGAACCCTAGCTCCTAACAGTAGTTTGTTTGTTTGTTTGCTTGCTTGCTTCTCTACTTTAACCACTTTGTTTAGTTACTTTAGGGTATATCAGCGGGACAGGGCAAAAGTCTGTTGATTTTGTCTGATTTCTTTCTAAGATCTATACAGCCAGTATGAAAAAGGTTATTCGTAAGACATGTTTCTGCTGAACACAATCAGTAATATGTTCTTTATGCACAGGCCCGTGGAGAATGTTTTGGAAGGATAACGATAGAAGCAATGGCGTTCAAGTTGCCAGTGCTGGTAATATTCTCCTCTCTACTACTCCCTCTGTTCACAAATACTCCCTCCGTCCCGAATTAGTTGTCTTAGATTTGTCTAGATACGGATGCATGTGCACATGTGAGTTATGCCATCAGTCTATCCGCCAGGCAATCAGCCTTTACTGCAATGGCTGGAACATGGGCCAGTATTTCTCTGAATCTAGAGTTATTGTCGACAGTCACGAGGCTGGATTTACTGTGCGAAATTCAAGTTCCTGCACCTCTTGGGTCCCCTCCATCCACTGTTTCTTAGCCTGCATTTTCTGTAGCGTGCTTGATGCTTCCATAAGCCAATTCATTGACTCAGTTTTAATGGCACTGCAATATCAGGGCACGGCTGCTGGCGGGACCACCGAAATCGTCTTGGATGGTTCAACTGGCCTTCTGCACCCTGCTGGAAAGGAGGGCGTCACGCCTCTCGCCAATAACATTGTAAGGCTTGCAAGTCATGCTGAGCAGAGGGCCTCCATGGGCAACAATGGCTATGCCAGGGTGAAGGAGAGGTTCATGGAGCACCACATGGCCGAGCGCATCGCCACAGTGTTGAAGGAAGTTCTTCACAAGTCTCGGCAGCATTCTCATTCCTGAGCTTCATCTTGGTGTGTACCATAGCATCGTTGATTCCTCGCGCTAACATGTAGATCCAGATTTTTAACAAGACCGGGTCGAGGTGAACTGTAAATTACAACCACTATCCCCTTTGTTGTTTCACTTCATGGGTTTGTTGTTTTCTGTCTTTTGTGTGGCTATTGTTTGTCAGCCTTGATGAGCTTATCAACATGAATGATCCCATGTAGAATGTGTAAGCATAGAAGCTATACTAGTATCTGAAATTCTCTCAGCTGGAAATTGCCATGTGTTTCTGAAGAAATTGCCACATTCCCACAACGTGCTTTGCCATAAAAATGCAAATGCCATGTCTCCCAGTGAACGTTCGCGGGCTATTTCGACCCTCACTTCATGGGTTTGTTGTTTTCTGCTGCCTATTGTTTGAAAGCCTTGATGAGCTTATTAGCATGAATGATCACTCATAGTAGAATTGTAAGCATGGGAGTGAAACAGTTCATGCACATTAATTAATGAAACTGAAATTGCTACTAGAATAGAATACATGCATCTCTTGCTTGGGACATCCTTTGCCCATCAGACAATTACTTAAGAATTAATGTGCTACGCGTACATGATCTGCATTTTTAGCGATGATTGCGCAAACACAGGTTATCGCATCATCACTTGCTGGCGGCTTTGGACGCCAGCCTCTTCTTCCCAATCTTGTGCCTAACCATCCTGAGGATCCTCAGGAACCAGTAGGCGCTTACCAGCAGCAAGCTCGTCGCCATCGCCTTGAGAAAATTAGTAGCAGAAATAAGTACATACTGCTACACATGACATCAAGACGCAGAAACGGTGAATGGTTGGGCCTGGTTGGAAGGTTATATTCATACCTTGATGAGGATGGGATTGTCAGCCGTGACAGTGCGGTAGGTGACGTACGTCCCGCAAACCATCCGTGCCACCGAGAAGGTCACCGCGAACAGGATCTACGTACCCATGCATGGGCCAGAAAGCAGTACGTAATTACTTCACCGCCAGAGAGGCAGAGGGAGGGGGAGCAGGATCATGAGGTACTGTATATCTATACGTACGTCGACGAGGAGGTTGAGGTCCGTGTCCTTGACGCCGATCTCCTTGAGCATCTCCCTGAGGTGCAGCAGCGGGCTGGAGATCTCCGTGACGATCAGGCACGCCACCAGCTCCGTCCCACACTGCACGCCACGTAGGCCGGCCAAGATCAACCGCTCCGTTCATCAGATTAGCCACCCACCGACATACACACCGAATGCAAGGCTAGAAGATAGAGAAGAAGAAGAAGAAATACTCAAGGTGGTACCCTCTGGTAGGCGAGGCCGGCGGCGAGGCCGACGATGCTGATGAGGTGGTGCAGGGCGTTGTCCAGCCGCGCGTCGCCGCTCAGGTGGCAGCACGCCCCGTCGTAGATCATGTACGACAGCGTCACCGCCAGCGCCCTCATCTGACAATTACCGCAGTTATTAATCGATTAAGCACTAATCACTAGTAGAAGAATTCCACTCCCTCCGTTTCTAAATATAAGTTTTTTTAAAGATTTCACTACGGACTACATACGAAGCAAAATGGATGAATCTATACTTTAAATATGTCTATATACATCTGTATGTAGTTTGTATTGAAATCCTAGAAAGACTTATTTTTGGGAACAGAGGGAGTACGAAACTTTTACTCGAGTGTTCTGTTCGCTGGACGGAGTACGTATACGGTCGTGGTTATAACTGTACCGCATGTGCATGGGCTAGCTGTAACGCGGGGAGGAGCACTGTTTACATCTATTTTAGCATAGTTTTTTTTCTTCTAAAACCCTCTTATGTTGCCAACGTAGGTGATGTTTGCGAACATTTTGATTATAGTTTTAGTTGTTTGAGGGTGGCCCTTTTTTAGAACAACATACGGTTTAATTTCTGTGACGAAGAAAATTTTGAGCAAACACGAGCATAAATTACCATGACTAAAACTGTCAGACGTTCGTTTCCCATCCCCTTTCCAGCAAACATCAGCCAGATAGCATTACCTTTTTTATTTGTCTGCACGTACTTCGTGACTGACTACACGTTCAAATTTCAGTGGATAGAGTAATTAAGTCTGACATATGCATGGCATTTACTCTGTGAATTAACTTCTGCATGCAGATGCAGTGCACGGTCCTGACCTTGTCCTTGTGTCTTTGGATTTTGGAGAGTGACCTTCTATACGTGTGGACAGGACGTAATTAAGCGTCTAGTACACACAACGTAAAAACTAAAATAGCGCTAAATCGCCTGTGCACATGCGGCTACGCGAGGTTGTTATCCTCACCACTCGCCCCCACGCGATTCGTGCTCACTCCAATACGACGCTCGCGTATTAACTCCACTGGGCAGCCTACACCTCCTTGTATAGGGCTCGTATTTCTCTCTACGCGTCAGTAAAGGCCCACACGCCACCTGGCGGTGACAACGGCTACCTGCGCCAAGGCATTTACTGAGCTGTAGCCACAACGGCTACATGCACCAGGCGGGAGGGCACGACCAGGCCACTGTTGTAGTAATATATGTAGTGTACCCCCTCTGCCTAGGGCATGCCGCTTATTTTTCGTATGTTGTAGTAACGCATGCCGATCTACGTGTGTAAGTTAGTACGTAGAGCAAGCCCATGCAGGCCGCTAGTGGCTATGTGTAATAAAATTATCTCGATGTCATCATGAGTGGCCGTACTACCGTAATTAACCATGTCGCTAATCAGGAAACAGACGCACACACGTACTTTCTGCGAGTGAGTGAAGTCACCGCCCACGGGATCACTTCAATGCACCAATAAGAGAGGGCGCTGCGCGGCATAAATACGCCCAGCCCACCTGCACCGAGTAACGACACCCATCACGAATTGATTGCTCCAATCAATATGGCCTGCAGACGAACAGAAGACGACAGGGCACGCGTGCTCTATAAATCGATTAGCCCAATATGGGCTATTAGAGGTCGTCTAGTACTATATTGCTGCTAAACCAACGGGATTCATATGGATTCTCATGGACTAACCTGGATTTATCTGTTTCTGCTGAAACCATGGCGTCCGCCCCCTCCTCGTGCCCGATGAGCGTGAGAACCCAAGAAGATGTACAGTGATACTAGCCTGCGTGCTCGACCGACGCATTAGCATGTGTGCTAAATGACGATGCACCCCGCGCCAGGCCAATTATTACCCCACCCGCGCACCGGGGTCCCCGCAACGGACAAATGATGTATTTGTACGAAAGTAAATGTGCGCGGCCCACTGACGAGAGGGTATAGCCGGCGTATTCCCATTCTGAAAAAATAAAACACTGTGCTGTATTTTGCACGTGGGGGAGAGGCTAATTTAGCTGCGGATCACGACGCGCTGCGGACGCATCAGATAAAGACCTCGCGTGGGGGCATGTCCTCAAAATTCGCGTCCCTAAAATAGATACTATAATGCACAATGTAAACCGAAACGAATGGACGACATGCCCTAGAAGTATGCACAATGAGTGATACAGATTTCACCAAATGGTGGGCCTAATATTTAGATATACTCCTTATATGAGTACTAAACGATAAATATATTTATTTTTCTTTCATGATATGCTTCAAAGGAATTCTTTTCATGATAGGGTGTCCGAAGGATATTAGGGCATCACCGACACCGTTTTCTATAATTCCCGCAAACATCTGGACCGACTTATGATTCTCGCAAATGACCGATTCCTCTATCACGCGTATGTGAACCGATAGAGTCATCTTTCTCCGACGTGCTACTGACACCATCTTTAAAATATGTGAATATTTGCAGCTCTGGCGGCCGCTTAGCCGCCTCTAGGATCGCGACGTCATCAACACCCTCATTGCCGACCTTCGTTCGATGGCCTTCCGCTTGGCGCCCCCGCTCCCACCGCCACCCACGGAGCCCGACTAGATGCTTTGCCGCACCCCGCGTGTGCGTGTTTTTTATATTTTTAAGGGCTTATTGAGCTGTGCCCTCAGCATTAACCCTTTTTTGACTACTTGTTGTGCTAGACCTCTGTATATGCGTGTGTGTTGATGAACCTTGTTGGATGTTTGGCTTGGACAGTTGCTTTATCTATAAAGCAGGGCGAAAGCCTTTTTCGGTAACCGATAGAGAGTCCGATTTAGGATACGGCATTGGAGATGCCCTATGACCTAGCTAGATCCGATCTGAAAAATTCATGACGACATAACTTTTTCCCAGAACATAAATGCACACCGTAAACTTGTGTACATTTTCCATCGATTCTGGGCCCAAAAACATTGCGTCACAATTAAAAAAAAACATTGCGTCACTTTCGAATGAGAAAGTGTTTAGGTTAATGAAACGAGAGAGAGCGCGCGCGCTACTTTCAACTAGATTTTTCCCTTCTCCATTGTTATTGACTTAGTCGTCGAAGTAGTAGTATATCTCTGTGGCGTCTAACGGTTTGTGCTGTTGCTAAACATCGAAGTTTCCTTTGAGTTTAAATTTATACTACACCACAGACATCGCTAAGCCGTCAATATTCTCAGCCCGACCAACATTTTTTTGACTAAGCGGCGTATTGAGCTTAACAAATCACACACACACACACACACACACACATATATATACATATATATGTCGGACGAGTGGGAGGACGGCGCTAACTACCAGCAACAGAATTAGTTAAGCAGGTAGCTAATAATGCGCGTGGCGTGCGTACCTGGCGCGGCGAGGAGGGTGAGGCGACGGGGGAGACGGGGGAGGCCCAGTCCTGCACGGAGAGGCAGCCGAGGGCGACGCCGGTGACGGCGTGCATGGTGGAGACCGCGCGGTTGCAGAAATCGTAGGAGCGCTTGGGGAGCAACGACCGCAGCAGCAGGAACGCCGTCGACCAGAACACCACCCCGGACGCCACCAGGCTCGCCACGCCGCCGTAGTCCTCCATATGGCGGCGGCGACTAGTCTCTCCTACTAGCGCGCGCAAAGCAAGGGGATCCGGGTATAAACTAAGTAGAGGTATGGCC